TGCGAAGAAATGGTAAACCTAATATCTTCCTCACAATGATGTGCAACCATAACTGGGATGAGATCAAGAATGAACTTTATCTAGGCCAAACACCACAGGACCGCCCAGATCTCGTCACATGGGTCTTTAGAGCAAAGTTAGAGGCGATGAGGAAAATGTTGATGGAGAAAAACATACTTGGGAAGGTGAAGGCCTATGTATATGTAGTGGAGTTCCAGAAGAGGGGCTTGCCGCATGCACACTTCTTGCTCATAATGGAATAGAAGTACAAGCTCACATGTCCCGAGCAATATGACATTATTATCAGTGTAGAGCTACCAAACAAGAAGAAGTACCCTGAGCTCTACAAGATGGTGACGAAGCATATGATGCGTGGACCCTGTGGGACGCTAAATCCATACTGTCCATGCACGGTGGGCCACGGGTCATGCAAGAACCGTTACCCACACCCATTCTATGAGGCAACGTCATAGGGAAAGGATTCGTACCCCATCTATCGGCGATGCAATGATGGCCGCATGCTAAAAGTTCAAGGCCATTACCTGGACAATCAATGGGTCGTGCCTTACAACCCTTGCCAGCTACGTACCTTCAACTGCCATATCAATGTTGAGGCCTGTGGGAGCATTAAATCAGTAAAGTATCTATTCAAATACATATACAAGGGACATGATAGGGCATCGGTGGTGATGAGGGAGACCGACAAAGCAGACGAGAAGGGGAACATTGATGAGATCAAGCAGTATAGAGATGCCCGGTGGGTGACGCCTCCAGAAGCACTATGGAGGATATATGGCTTTGACTTGAGAAAGAACCATCCACAAGTACAGCAACTGCAACTTCATCTACCCGACATGCACATGGTGGCATTTCATAAACAAGATAAGGTCGAACGGATCGTTAATAGGCCAGATGTAGAAGAGTCAATGCTGACAGCATACTTTGATGTAAACAGGCATCATGAGGAAGCCCGCGGAATCTTGTATCGGGACTTCCCGGAGCATTTTACCTAGCAGTCTGATGGTAAATTCTGGTAGAAAAGGAAAAACTCCGTTTTTCAAGTTGGAAGAGTCATCTCGGCTCATCCTGCTGAGGGAGAACGTTACTTTCTTCACGTTCCCTTGAACAATGTTGCTGGTGCTACCTCATACGAACATCTGAGGACGGTTGATGGCGTGCTACTACCTTTGTTCCGTGAAGCTGCAGAAAGGAGGGGTCCAATCGAAGAAGACAATACACTGGATGAATGTCTAACTGAAGCTACTTTATTCCAGATGCCTTCCTCTTTGCGGAGGCTATTTGCAACAATATTCTTATTCTGCGAGCTGCAGGATGTGATGGGGTTGTGGAAAAAACACTACGATGCAATGTTAGAGGACTACAGCCGCAATCATCCATCCCCGGATTTGGTGCAACAAATGGTTTTGATAGACATTAGAAACATGCTGCAATCTATGGGGAAGGACATAAGGTCATTTCCTCTTCCAGATATTGATCACTCATACGATGATGCCAGCCATATTCCTCATGAGATATTTGAGGAAGCTAGCGTCGAGCAGAATCCCGAAGATGTGTTATTGTGCGACTCACTCAACGCTGAGCAAAGGTCTACCTATGATGAGATAATGGCCGCTGTCTGCAGCAAACAAGGTGGGTTGTTCTTTGTGGATGGACCTGGCGGGACGGGAAAGACATTTTTGTATAGGGCACTTCTCGCAAAACTACGCAGCCAGGACAAGCTTGCCGTGGCTACAGCTACATCTGGAGTCGCAGCAGCCATAATGCCAGGCGGGAGGACGGCCCACTCACGTTTCAAGATACCCCTCACTCTTCAAGAGGGCGGTTGCTGTAGCTTCATGAAACAGAGTGGTACTGCCAAGTTGCTGCAGCAAGCAGCTCTCATAATTTGTGACGAGGCATCTATGACAAAGAGGCAAAATGTGGAAGCACTAGACAACAGCCTATGGGATATAATGGGCCTGTCAAATCACTCGTTTGGTGGGAAGACTGTTGTCCTTGGTAGGGATTTCAGACAGGTCCTCCCTGTTGTGCGGAAAGGATCCAGAGCTCAAATAGTCGGTGCTTCTCTAAGAAGGTCGTATCTTTGGGAATCCATGCGCCACCTAAAGCTCGTCCGCAACATGAGGGCTCAGAGTGACCTGTGGTTTGCAGATTATCTGTTGCGCATTGGTGGTGGAACGAAAGAGATTAACGGAGATGGCAATGTACGTATTCTAGACGAGATATGTGTCCCGTACTTTGGCGATGCCGGGAAAGATCTTCATACATTGATTGGCATTATCTTTCCAAATCTAAATGCAAGCATGGCAGACAAAGATTACATCACCACCAGAGTGATTTTATCTACACATAACGATTGGGTGGACATGATCAATATGAAAATGATTGATATGTTCCAGGGCAGCGAGACGGTGTGTCACAGTTTTCACTCCACGGTAGATGATCCACATAACTACTATCCATCGGAGTTCCTTAACAGTTTGACCCCCAACGGGCTGCCTCCACACGTCTTGAAGCTCAAGTTCGGGTGTCCTGTCATATTGCTTAGGAATATTGACCCTGTCAATGGGCTATGCAATGGTACAAGGCTGGTGGTGCGGGGGTTCCAAAGAAATACAATCAACGCTGAAATCGTGGTGGACAGCATGTTGGGAAGCGGGTATTCCTTCCTCGAATACTGCTATGCTCGTCTGATGACGAGATGTTTCCATTCTAGTTTAAGCGGAAGCAGTTTCCTATCAGGCTAAGCTTTGCCATGACGATCAACAAGTCACAGGGCCAAACTATCCGGAACGTGGGTGTGTACCTACCCGCACCGGTGTTCTCGCACGGTCAATTGTACGTTGCGATGTCTGGAGCCACGTCAAGAACCAATATTAAGATCATTGCCCTCCAGCCTAATGTGGAGGCCCAAGAGGAGGAGGCCAAAAAGATAGAGAAGAAAAATGCTAAAAAGAATGCCGAGGAAAAAAAATAAGAATACGTCAAATAAAAAAGATAAGGATAAGAAGACCCCAGTAGCGAATGGAACTTTCACAAAGAATACTGTATTTAAGGAGGTTCTAACGCCATAGGCGAGGTAACAGAACATTACTAACGCATACAATGTATTTTTTTTTCTATTCAATTTATATTGTACAAATAATATCTCACTAATGTCATATTTGTTGCTGTTCCTAGGTATTTTTAAATGATTTATTAGAGTCTACACGGAGATGTTGTATATACACTTGTGTGATGGCATAATAAAAATTGAACATGTGTTATATTATTGTTATAAAAATGACACTTTGAGTGTTTTGTTCATAATATTTCGTTTTGTAACTATTCATAACTATTACACGTGTATGTCCTCAAAACCATGAGTTTTGTCGACTTTCCTCACTTTTCTCATGTGCCAATGTGGGATCAACCGAATTAGCACCTACATAATTACAAACATAAATTACTTGAATAAAACCAACGAAGCAAGTTAGCGATAATAATGAACAATAGTGCTAAACAACACTATACCAGTGATCGTGAGATGGCACGATCGTAGTGGCGTTGGTTCCGCGCATTCAGGAGGATAGCTCCTTTGTATTTTCCTTTGTTGCACCAGAGTCATTAGTTTGTGAGCACGAAAGAAATTGATATAGAAGATTTCTTCCTGCCAATATAAAATATTATCTTAGCCGCATCACGGAAAGGTCTATAAAGTAGAGTTTGTGAGCCTGCGACGCCGCGCACTCCGTGACTGTGTTAAATTCATAAATTTTGCCTTTTAAATTAAATATCACTTTAACGTTGGTATTTAATTTTTACAGTATTGTTATCTTATCGTGCGATCCGTGTATTTTTAAGTATAAAATGGTAGCAGAGACATCCGATAAAATAGTTGTTATAGATTTTGATGGCAACGAGCAAATTCTCTCTTTATTACGATAGGAGGCTGGTCTTCACGGCCACATTGTAGGCCTAAGCCCAGGTCATTAACGTCGTGCCCTTCGGAAGCCCAGACCCAAACTACATTTTATTGCATGTAGTTATCTATGTGTTCTGGTTAAAGTCTCATGTGATTCTTTAAAAAAAAGCCACCATTGCGGAACGCACGTGTAACCGTTTCAAAAACCTCCTTTCCTCAATGAACGATATAATTTTTTCTGTGCGTGTGCTTTGAGCACTAGTATATACATAGAGATCACCAAACATAAGTATTCCGCTGTGGACACCAGTCTTGATACAAGTTAACATGAAAATTAGACGCTAGTACGTGATTTACTAACACTTTTTTTACTGCAGCATCTCTACTGTAGCGAAAGGTGTCAAAAGCTGCTAGTAGGTGACTAGGTGGGCAGCTCTGGGCTCTGATGATGGGCCGTGGGGTGGGGGCCTCTTTGAGCATATTTGAGTCGGACAGAACCGTCCATGTGCCCTGCCTCTCTGGTGCTCATCACACGCATCTTTATGAAAAGTTAAAAATCTAGTAAACTTTAACTAAAATAATATTTAAAAAAGTATTCATGATACAAAATAAATATCATTAAATTAATTATAGAATATTAATATTATTTATTATATAAATTTGATTAACTTTTAACTAATTTGACTAACACAAATCTTATAGTTGTATGTGTGTGTTTGAACATTTCTACAGAGACACAAAACAGGAAATTAATCTATAGCTATATATAATTCATTTTAAAAAGCAGACATGCATGTATATGGAAAGACGCTTCGCCTAAATTATTGAACTCGGTTACAGTGAACACGAACAAAGAGACGCATCTCTGCCTAGGTACAGTGCCTAATACAACGGAGAGGCTAATAAGCAAGCAAACGGCTACTAACAATGTAACGAGACTATGCGGTTATTGGACACGACGACGACGACGACGACATGATGGCGCAGCATGAGGAGAGATGGATCGGAGGACACAAATCGATGATGGCCCGTGCATCAGACCACCGTACCATCCATCCATCCATCGATCGCACATTCACACGTGCGGGCTGCAGTAGATGATCTTCATCTCCTGGACGTTCCGGCAGTCGCCGCTGGGCACCTGGTGCACGGAGCACCGGCCCTCGATGGCGCACCCGACGGCGGGGCACCTTCCCTGGAGCGGCGACCCGTGAGGCGTGACGGAGACGGGCACGCGCTGCCCCGGCTGCGCGTTGGGAGCCAGGTAGAAGGAACCCCCGTCGACGGCGACGTGGAACTCCACCGTGGCGGCGTCGGCGCCCGCGTGCAGGCGCCCCGTCCACCAGCACACCGGGAACTCGGCGTGGCTGTGCGGGCGGAGCGTGTACGCGCCCGTGAACAGCGGCGGGCTGTTGGCCAGCGGCTCCAGCGTCAGCGTCACGTCGTGGGTGCATAGGTTCTGCACCGTCACCTTCTTGTTCTTGGCGCAGTTGGCGTGCGTCAGGTCCGCGAGCACGGGTGTCGACGACGCCGCGAGCACGGCCACCGCCAGGAGGAGCAGGGCCGCTGCCGACGAGGAGGAGGGCTTGGACGGCGCCATCCTTGCTCAGCTTCTACGGAGAGAGTAGGGTGGGTGGGTGGTTAACAACTGGTTAATGTTACTGCTAGCTTGGTTGGGTTCAGCACTTGAGGAGGTGGGGTTATTTATAGCCGTGGCCGTGCGACACCCGTGCTGATATTTACTGGCATGCATGATTAAAAAGCGTGGTGAAAGAAAGTGTTGATGCCATTGCTGTCCAGAGCTCTGGACAGATCGAGGAGGGCGTAGTGGCCTGTCAGATGAGATGAGTAGGACATGCATAGTGGCCTGTCAGAGTAGGACATGCATAGTGGCCTGTCAGATGAGATGAGTAGGACATGCATGGGTTGATGCTGTCGTGTAGCCTGCTGTGCTCTCCTAGTGGCTCCATGAATGCATGCATGCATGCATGCGCTGAGACGATCGACGTGGCAGCGCTACAGTGGAGCCTGTACAGGATAAGGATAGGACGGTAATAAAGATAAAAGGCGCCGAGTACGTGCGACATTTCTTCGCTCGTAATCTTGAACACCTCGCACAGTTTGGATGGATGAGTACAAACTTTGCAAGGCTACAAAGGCAACGAAAGTAAAGCTAAACTAGTCCTTCAGCGCGCCTATACGCGCAATGCACGGGCCCCACATATTATTTTGGAGAAAAGAAAAGAAATAATGAAAGGTAGACTGTTTTTTGATTTGAGAAAAATCAGAGGATGTTTTTGCAAAAAATGATGAGAGTGTCTATGGAACGCGGGTTGAATTTCGATAAAGTGGAGGTCTTTTTTGCAAACAAACCAGTGCGCATCCGTTCTGGACTGCGCGTCGATTTGGAAATAACATGAGGCGTTTTTTTTGTAAAAAATTCTGAGAGGACGTCTGGAGCGCGGGTTGATTTCCAAAAACTGAAAGGGGTTTTTCGTAAAACGACCGCGGCTCGCCCGATCTGGACCGTCCGCGCGGCTGATCGAACGGCCACGAAATAACAGCGACGTGGACGCGCTGGCTGAGCGAGCTGGCCACAACGAATCATATCTTTAGATGGCTTTGTAGCGTTGCTAGCTGTAGTTGACCAGCGTTCGTTCAACTCCTACCTGGTTTACCTGGTTAGGCTCCGTTTATATTTCAAAAAATTTTGCGTAGTACCCGTCACATCGAATCTTACGGTAGATGTATCGAGTACTAAATGTAGACGAAAAAAAACTAATTGTACAGTTAGGTGAGAAATCGCGAGACGAAACTTTTGAACCTAATTAGTTTATAATTAGACACTAATTGCCAAATACAAATAAAAGTGCTACAGTAGTCAAAATCCAAAATTTTTTGGATCTAAATGGGGCCTTACTGGCTGCTAGGGATGCAAAATTAGTGACACCAATAAGTTAAGTGGTCTTGGCATAACTTTCTTTTTGAGTAACGTGTTAGCATAAGTTCATTTCAAACTTCTGCAGCATACTACTATTATTACTATACATTTTGGGTCTGTTCGCTGGTTGAGGTTGATGCTGGTTTTTTAGAGAAAAACACTATTGGCTGACTGGTTTGGGCTGACTAAAACCAACAAGCGAATAGGCTATTTGTTCTGAAATCCATACGCTCAAGGTCAAACTACTTGTACTCCACCGGTAGTAGTCCACTAGCAACAACTACTACTACAATCTAGGAGTACGGAGTACGTACTTCGATGACGACAGTAGTCTTGGCCGACCGAATTTTTTATTTTTTTGCTCTTTTTTCCTCGAGTTATATTTTCAAAATCTGAACCTTTAGCTCGGCGTCATCATTGGTGGCGCTGAGTTTACATGTCTTGGCGCCATAGATTCTGACGTCTAGGTATTAGGCTCGGCGCAGACCTGGCGGTGACTTAGCAGGCACCTCGGCGCCGAGCCTTGTCTTACATATGGGCCCTCCCTTCCTTTCTCTCTTCGTCCCTCTCTACCGCGCCCGCGCCACCGCGCTGCCAGCGTTGCCGCCCCACCACGCCCGTGCCGCGCCGACCAAACTAGTATTATTCGGTTTCGTTGGAGTAGGAATGTCTGAAGGGTTATCTAGAGGAAAGGGTTTCGGGAGTGGGAGAGGAAAGGAGGGGACGAAGGGAACTCCCATTGTGTGGAAGGGGTCTCTTGAGCCTGATTTTTTTGAGGAACCAGCGTATCAGTTTCCCCCCGAGAGCAAGAGTGATTTCACTAAAGAGTGCCCTATCAGAGGATACGATAACAGGAAGGAAGATTGACCAGAATGCATGCATGGTGAGGACTGCTCAGTGCAGGTGTTCACCGAGGGATCGACAGAGATCGTCGCTTCTTCAAATACCCGCGAGCATGAGTAAATGCTATTACATTTCGTTTGTTAAATATGTTTCTCGAATACCCTTACAACTCACAGGACATACTTATTGTAGTCTTCCGAGTCCGAAGAAAACTGTGGGTTCACTAGGTGGGTCGATCCTCGACCAATTTATCCGCATCAGCAATACATCTACTACCTGTAGGACCAAATCTTCGATCTACAAAGGGATGTTAACAGCGGGTACAAGAAAGACGAAGACGACGACAACAACAATGGTGCAAGTTCACAGGAGGCACTCTGCAATGATCCATATTGCACCTGCCCTAATCACAAGAACAAAGGGCCTCCGTCGTCACACCACCACCACTACCACCAACAATGGGAGGCTACTATGGAGAAGGTGCAACACAATTTGCTATGTGGCCACACTACTAAGGCGACCATATCTTATTCACATGGCACATCCATGTGTTTGTCGTTTGGTTTAATTACCTAAGGCATGTTAGGTTTAGTCGAAGGAACTATGTACCATTGTTTGGTACATGTTCTCACATGCCATTTCTTGTGCTTGTTGTTCGCTTCAATTATCTAAGGCATGTTAGGTTTAGTTCAGAACCTCTGTACCCTAGTTTGGTACATGTTCTTACATGTCATTTCATGTGTTTTGTGTGTTGAATTATATAATGTCCTTCGTTAGGTTTTGTTTGTAGCATGTGATCGTATTTCACTACGTCCGTAATATTAAACTAAATATTATAACCACAAATAATGAAAACAACTACATAATAAAAAGTCCAATACTATGACACATTAAACAACACAATAATATTAGAAATATGTGTCGACAAACTAAATAACGCAGTACATGACCTAAGCATGTCCATACTTAAAGTGCATTAAATGACAACACAATGAAAAGTCCAACAGTATACAACATTGTTCATCAATAAACCATAGAACTAGCAAGTAATGGAGACTACTGAGTGCAACGAGACCACTTTCTCTTTCTCAGGGCATCGGGATTCTCCTCCATTGCTGCTTTCGCTCGGCGTGCACGCTCAAGCTTTTACTCCCTCTTATCCCTGTACGCAGCAACACGCCTGCTTTCCTCCTCTTCCTTGTGCTCCTTTTTTGTAGCCTCCTCTCTGCATCTCTTCTCCATCATCTCCTTGTCCTCTGCCTCCCACCGTAACAGTTTCTGCATCTATTTCTTGTCTTGAGGCTTGATCTCAGTGTCGATCCACTGCTTAAAATCACAGAGCGGTGGAGGAGTCTGCAACAAATGCAATGGTTACAAAACAAAAAAATCATGCAAGATGTTATATAACACAAAATAATTACCATCTTATTAATGCGGCGCTGACGAAGTGTAGGCTCAAACGTAAAATTGGAACACATCAAATACCTCTGCCTATACACGTGTCCTCTTCATCGGACTTGGCTATCTTTCAAGGATCACCGCAAAAGCACATGGGCACTGGAACACCACTAGGCAGAGGCAATGGGTCGAATGCATTTTCGGTCATCCGGCCATAACTATAATTTTACCATTTTTGTTCTAAGAACTGAAAGCAATTAACATTAAACCCTACACCTAGGGTTTCCTATTTGATCCACAACAATGAACTCATAACATAACAACGTGCGTTGAGGTTACCTTGGTTTGGTAGCTTTTCCATGTCTTGGCATCCTACGGTTGTATAATATAAATATTAAAATTGAATGAAACCCTAAGTAATGACGATTCTTAAGTTGAAAAATCTGACTAATATATACCGAATCGATTTAAAAAAAAACTAGGAGGGAGCGATGATACCTTGCTCTCGAAGATCTACGGATTAAATCAAAGTTTACAAGGTCCAATATGCCGATTCATGAGGTAGGGCGAAGTGGGGAGAGAAAAAACCTGAGAGGGAGGAGAAAGAAGAAGAAAGCTCGGACAGAAAGGTTGGACGCCGAGTTAAAACACAAGCTCGGCGCCAAGCTCGACGCCAATAATCACGGCGCCAAGCTCGGTGCCAAGATCCACGGCGCCGAGCTGGCTGCCATGTCAGCGTCCATGTCGCCAACATGGCCCCGACCTAGGCATCAGAATCTATGGTGCCGAGACATGTAAGCTCGGTGCCACCAACGATAGCGCCGAGTTAAGAGTCCAGATTTTGAAATCATATTCAGAAATATATTTGTGAAAAAATTTCAAAGAAGGGCTACAAAATTAAAAAAATTCGGTCTTGGCCGACCTGAGTTGTCACCTGTGCGTGGCCGACCTGAGTTGTCACCTGTGCGTGCGTGAAAAACGCTGTGGCTTCTACTGGGAACTTGTTTAGATCCCATCAAAATTCTAAATTTTTTCACTCTCTTTTTATCACATCAATTTTTAAACACATGTATGGAACATTAAATATAGATAAAAAAATAATTAATTGTACAGTTTGGTTGTAAATCACGAGACGAATCTTTTGAGCCTAGTTAGTCCATGATCGGACAAAGTTTATCAAATACAAATAAAACGTGCTAAAGTGTCCAGATTACAAAAATTTACAATCTAAACCAGGCCTGGCTAGCTGTGTACGGTGAGAGACAAGGTGCATGCACGGGTACTTCCTGGGGCAGGCTACAGACATCGAAACATATGACATCCTGCAACCAGCTAGTAGTGTTGGCGTGTTGCTGCAGTCCTGCAGCGGAGCGAATCTAGTACGTAATCTACTACAATACTTACTGTTTACCCCACGC